GACATTGTTGTCGCTGTTGACTTTAACAATATTAAAGAATATTTGTTGTTATGGCAATAGCATATTATTATTGTGTTTTAAACGCATTCTGACATTACGTATGCCGGTAAAGTAGTAACTAGTAATTTGACTCCCGGGTCAATGTTTTATAGAAAAATTGATCCATTCGCTATAACATACTGACTTTCTCTGAAGACAAATGCCCCCGCACTCCCACCTATTAAGAAATATGTACAACTCCATGAATACTTATGTCATCAATTATTTTTGACATAACACGGCAAATAAGATCTATTATTTTTGTATTCATCTTTTATTTAGACAAGCTTGTACTTTTTATTGTATGTTGTTTTTTGGGTTTTTTTGGGGGGTTTTTTTGTTTTTTTTTTTTTTTTAAACTTTTTTTTTTTTGGGGGGGAGGGGGTTTCGTTTTTTTTTTTTTTTTCATTTTGATGAAGAACTTTTCTTTCGTTTCCATTTAAGCCTTTGAGGCGTACGATTGTCTTGTATATTTTTGTATATTAAAAGAAACTCAACTGCATTGTATAAAACATGCTTCTTAAAATCTCGAAGTATAACTACAAATGAAATCAAACGATGTTGATGTTGCAATTCCTTACGTTTAATTGGCAATTGTATTGATTTCATGTGAATATTTAGAATATTTACAATTTGTTTTGATAGTATCGCATGTTCAAAGAAAAACAGACAACAAGTAAGCATTCACGAGATGCTGATGTTATGATGGCAAAAATCCGGAAGTAAATATGACCTATGCAAGTGTTTTTGTTTACATAACACAATATCATTAAGGTATTATGTATAGATTAATTTTTAAAAGTAAACATTTATTGAATGAAATTGGTCGAACGGCGCACTAGTTCATTAAGTGTTTGAACTTATTTTCATAAAAGTGTTCATTTTTCGTCTATTTACTAGACTAGAATAAGCCAATTAACAACGGAAAATATGTTACGATACAATTGTAATGCTGCAATTCTATTAGATGAAACATGATTTCAAACACTTATGAAATGTTTTATGGTGTCATCATTGTGATAAATGTAAAACTTACATAAACCAAATTTGAAAAGAAATTAGTTTAGAACATAGAAAATATCGACTAAAAACATTTAATTGTCTTAAACATCCCAGTAAAGAAAGCGAAAACTAGGCAACTATCACTTCAACTTTTCAAATTCCAACTGATTGAATTAGAAAATGTCAACATATTGATTTCATGATTTCACGCTTTAAATTTTATTCAAACCATGATTTCAGCTACACGAATCAACGATTTTATTTCACGAATTCAAGATTTCAATTTTACTAATTCAATTTCATGATTTCATGCTTTCAATGTAATGAATTCACGATTTTAAATTCACACATTCGTGATCGTTAGATTGAGCCGTGAGTAAGAGAAAGTAAATCATAAATCATGAGTAAGTGAAGTTAAATTCGTGAATTCATGATATTGAAACCGTGAGTATATAAATGTTGACATGTCAATACATGTTTTAAATATGTAATGTACGTAGGAAGACAATTTTACGGCGTTTTAAATGCATGGAAAAATTTGTGTATAGCAATTTCATTGCTGATCGATAACTCTTACCAAACTCTCTTGACTTTTACCAAACTCTCGTGACTAACACGCATAATAAATGACGTCTGAGACATCTTGACAAATAACGTACGCCATATCCTTAAAAAGCTAAGGACCTGTCACAAAAGTTCCGTTAACCATGGAATAAAGTAATTTATTTATCGATAAGTTACAGAGTAGTTCTGAGGAACTAAAATATGTCAGCATCATTGAGTATTGATAGGTTTAAATAGTTTAACATGTATAACAGATGCAATATAAGCAACACAACAAACAAAGTTGCTGTAACAAGTTGTTGTAACAACAAAAGAATAATTGATGGCAATATATGACTGTTGTATTTTGATAATTATTATAATTACTTATGTCACTACATTGAGAACTGTCTTTAAAAAAAGAATTTACTTATAACTTATTTGAAGGTTAAACTTGTATGAGTTTCAAATGAACAGATATTTTTTACGTTTTTTTTAGTTATTACGTTTTAATGTTTGGAGACATATCATGTTGGCATTGTACTAAATGTTTATTTCAACATTATGATAATAAAGTGATGCCTTGAAATGATTAAATGTAAATCTTTTCTTAATCTTAATTTGGCATTTTAGATATGTATATTGTTATAAAAAGCAAACTCAAATTCTCCAAAGTTAACAAAGGAAATGCCAACTTAAAGACTAACACTGTTATTCCTCATGCGTGTCTATATACATTTCTGCCAGCCGTTGAAGTCCATTGGTTATTTCAATATTTTTGTTCTCAGCTTTATTGCAGTAATCTTGTTAGGGCTATTCAAATCTAGCAGTAATAAAGTTCCAAGAAATTACCATGTCGGTCATTTATTGCTTTCGAAGTCCTAAGCATTTTGTTCTCTATAACGCTATCGTGTACTCGTTTTGTTTGTTACATTCCAGTACTATCCTTGTATCATGTGAGAAACTGCAGACAAATATTTTTATAATATCATTAAAATACATAAACAAATAATGACGTAATATATAACGTGGCAATAAATTTATTTGTTGAATCAATTAGGTAATCACACAGTTTCCGTTAATATTTTCTACAAATGAATAACATAAAAACTTTCAAATAAAATTCTTTTTCTTTTGAACTATTTTTTTAAAGTTTATATATGCTTCTGAGAGAAAATGTATTATTACAGTAAAACGAACCGCGTATATAGTCACAAAGCATATGCTCCTGTAGCGTCTGAAAATTTAATATTTGTTGTTATTTGAATAAAGGAATCAAAATGTTGTTTAAACGAACTAATCATTCGTTTCAATAAAGACAACATTTAACGAGGACATAATTCGTTCAAACGAAAGCATTATTCGCCTGAACGAAATATATCTGTAACATTTTCAATTTTATTAGGCTCCCTTTAAGTCACAGCTGCGTATTATTTCAATTGATCACAATAAATTACAAATAAAGTATTGTAACAAAGAAATAAGAGTGCAGAGTAATTTGCATTGAAGGTCCACGGTCAGACACATTAAATGTCGGCTTTGCAAACAAGTTTCTGCATAACTATATTTTGCCCAGGTTTTATTGCGTTAATACTGTTAGATCCTTTAAATTGAACGCTGATAGAAAAACCGGATATTGACTTGACCGATTTTATTAAGTGCTCCACAAGTAATAACACAATGTATCGTAATTTGATACAATCACATAACCCTGCTTTATCTTACTACACCATTGTAATATAATACTAGAAATTCAAATATGTGAATACTATAAAGTTCCTACTTTTTAACTGGATGTTAATGATTGTCTACCAAAAATATTTGATTTAAAATGAACAATTTTATAAACTTTTAAGAATCTGTTAAAAAAATTTCATGAATATAGTCTATATAATTATTTTTCTTTCTCATGTAACAAGGGTAGATAAAAAATAGTTGTTATCGAGTAATTATGAAGATAAAAGTTTATATTTTAACATAAAAACAACAAATGTAGTGTGCATTGGCCACTTTGTTTATACTTTGCTTTTTTTCTAACAAATAGTTTCACATTTATTACTACTTTCTTTAAGAATCAAACATTTATATGTTCTAAAAAATAATTATTATTAATTATTAAATAATATAATTATTCAAACGTTATAACACTTGTGCTTGGCACAACTTAAGAATAAATAATTAATTCGTTTCTGCGATTTAATGTCCTTTAAGCAAAGGCATGTCTTCTTTCAGGTTATGTTTGTTTTGTGTAGATTTTCATGATAGACAAGAGAGAAAATAATTCTTAGAAAATTTAATACTCTTGACTAGTGCAAAACCCAGCCAAAGAAACTCTTAAAATTTAGTTTAGTTATAAAACATACCATTTTCATACACGTTTTGAATAATTAAGATCTGTATTTGAATATTTTAGCCTATATTATGGAGGATAAAGATCATATAAAGAAAAATATCCAAAAAACTGTAACTTCTTGACAATTTCTAAAATTGCTTATTTTAAACACGTTAGACATTTTCCGATTTCTATTACCTTTGGGATAAAAAGAGCTAAATGAATAATGGTATATTGTAAAACACATTTCAATCTGTGCTCTGTCTAACAAGATCATTCATTTCCCATTGGACAATGGGTTTTTACGTACCAGCACTTTCCTTTTTATCTCACGTTATTTATAGCAAGAAAAGCGGAGACCAATTTAAGATGTATTCTCCATTAAATTTTGATTCACTTTTTGATGTAAATAAAAGTGCCACAAAAGTGCCATCATTACAATGTATTTCCATACGATAAATTTGATAACACAATGTGTCCTGAATAATCAAGTTAAAGAAGACAAGCGAAAATTTACAGAAAAAGTTGGTATTTGTAGCGATGAAAACAACTTTAAACAGGGTAATATTGCATCATCGGTTTGAGTCTGTTCATAGGAAATAATATAAATTGCTTTATCTATCAAGTCCCGCGTGCATCTGTTTAAAGAGGTACTAAATCCCCCTAAACGTAATGGAACTAACGAACATGTATATAAATTGTTACGCATTCTTTAAATTGGTTTACATGAACATGTTTTTATAAACTGGTTAAAAGTCATACATGTATCATTTTAATGAATAACATACTACTTTCAAATAAACATCCGGTCTTTTGTTAAACTTTTGTTAAAATCAAATACGATATAAATACTTAGTATACATTATGTCATCATTTTTTAATAAACGTGTAATCAGTATGCACAATGAATGAATGTTTTCTTTTCCTAACGTTATGTCAACAATATTGATATCTTAGTTCTAGAGATATTTATCGGAGATAAGATCACTTTTGTATCTTACAGTAGAAAAAGTATCCCGTGTTTTTAAAAAAAATATTTTCTATATCATTGAAGTCAATGAACAAAACAAAAACGTTATTTGTATATAAAGCGTTTAATTTGAAGAAAAAAGTAATTAATCTTAATATAAAGCATCCGTTCCACAATCAGTTGTGTATTTTATTCCAAAGTAAAATATTTATTTTCCAATATTTAATTGTTATAAAAAGCAAGGTAAGGTAACTGATCACACGGCACTGGTAGAATATGCTCATTTGTTGCCGCGAATAGGCTTGTAATTGTTAAACTGTTTAATTGTAATGTTATCAATTGCTGTTGAGCAGAACATCCGGAATGGCCAATTTCTTGTTGATTGAAATGTTAAACTACAAGGTGACGTCCTTGTTGTTGAGCAGAACGTCCATACTGTCCAATGTCTGCGTACTAATACTGTTTCCATTTTTCTGTACATCACTTCCCTTAAGGCATGCGTTTGGTGGGTTCGGCTGTAGCATTTCCATCTCTAAAAATTAAGATACAAAATAGTTAATTTGGACACCGTAAAAGCGCTCAATTCGGCAAATATTAAACTGATGTGTGTTGCATGCAATAAGCTGCAAATACTTCGAAGACCAATACACTACGGTTTACTACAATGTGTGACATTACAATATGTGAAATGTGTAAAATATTATTCTCCTAATAAAAGCATATTATTGCATCCCGTTCTCTTTACTTATTGAATACTTAAAGCGTTGGGTGACATGAACTTGCTAATTAGAAAAATACCTGAATCTATAAATATGTTGAGACCAGATGAAAGGAAATTTATGTAAACCATAATAAAATCTGGAAACAAAGTGATCCCTCTGAAGCTTTAATCACAACAAAATAACACAAAAATTGAAGACTCGGTTTGATTGAGTCTGTACATGAGGAATAATGAATAAGTGCAACATCCCTCACGCCCGCTAGCACTGGCTTGAGTGGTACTAAAGAGCGGTACTCAACTCCCAACACTTAATAGTCCTGGCATCAATAATTCCCGAAGGACCAGAAAAATATAACAACATTAAAAATGTCACATAAATCACAACATCGACTACAAACACGTACTGTTTGGTATTTGAGATGAAACCGGCACGGCTGAGTATCCACAATGAATGGTTTGTGACTGTTGAGTTGGTTGAGCAGCATTACTCATGTACGTGCGTGTCACGTGCGTTGCCATGGATTTCCGCACGTTGTTCTGAGGATGTGTAAGTATTATGTACAATTTTGGAGTAAACATGCAAACTAGCGTTACAGTTGCACTTAAACTTATGGAATAACACATCGTTGCTATTCGTAACTTTATATCGTATGCAGTTGAAAAGTATATTGGCACAAAAGCTAACCAAATAATGCAAGTTGTATACATTGTAAATCCGATATATTTTGATTCATTGAACGCCTCAGGAATGTTTCGAGTCAATATGGCATATATTGTACATATAATCACAAGTATGATTGGGCAAGAAAATCCAATCATATAATATCCTCCAACTGCGTCCTTGCATACAAGCTGATGATCAGCCCTGGTTGAGAAGTAGAAAACAGCTTCCGGTGGACGTAACAGTACCCACATCACACCGACAATGTTTTGGAATGCTACAATAGAACCTGTTATAAATATCTGAGATTTAGGGCTGATGAATTTCGGGCGTTTAGCTGTTCGTTTTCCTGCACGAAATATTCGAGATATTCTATTAGTCTTTATAAGAATAGCTGAATAACAAACCGAGAAACATAATCCAATCCCGAATTTTTGTGCACCGCAGACAATAGCATTAGGTTTTAGGATAAGTACAAATGTCATGGAGTAACAGAGAAAGATGCCAAAAAGCAGAACAAAGCTTAACTCTCTCCCAGACGCTTTGACAACTGGCGTGTCATTGTATTTCACAAAAATGGCAGTTACATAGCCAGTGAAAACAATTCCAATTGTTGAAAATGCAATTGCTCCAATAGCCAATGCGTCAACGTACCGCAGGTAAACAATAGGTATTGAAACACATTCTGTTTTTTCTTCGTTTGGCTTTGATCCCGGCGGGCAATCTTCACATTTAAACGGGGTAGGCAGGTATTGGTACGTATGACATTTCGCACAGGTCCAGCAACAATGACTTCCCTCTAAATATAAAGTTGCCTCTCCCGGCCCACACTCATACGAACAGACGGAGTCCGGATGTTGTGGTTGGTCAAGGCGGAACTTTATGTCTTCTACCTGAAATAAGCAAAAAAGGTAGCATATAATAATCGTGTAAGTTTAAAGTAGAAGAGAGTGAACAAGAGTTAGCAAACATAAACAATATAAAACGGCTGACAATGACAACTTAGAGACAATTTTGTACCCTTTTTCTCACTGATCAAAATATTCATTATCATTGAATACTTTCATTAATAGAAACATTAAAATTACTATTAAAAATTTTCTTCTCATATTGACCATCAACAAACTGTATATTCAATATTGTACGGTATGTTTTACGAACAGTAATTGAAACTTTGTTATTTGTTTTAAATTGTGAAGGATTCCGGAACTGCTATATAATAAACACAAACAACATTATCACCAGTCTTATTAAAAGTTCCAAAAGCATTCAATTTCCGTATATTGCGTATTTATTGATCTTGACATCTAAATAAAAACAAAATCATTATTCAACACTTTCAAATTATAATAATCGATTGTATTATTGCAGAACTTGAAATTTTATTTTCGAACTATAACTAATCTCATACATACATCAATTAGATGTCCATTATCGAAGAAACCAACTGTTTCCCATTTGTAAACTCCTGGTGACGTTTGACGGAAATTAAGTATCCTGTATCTTGCTGGACCATCTCCATTTGGTAGAAACTGGAAATGCTGACCGGACAAACCTGTACAGAATATGTTTTTTGTAAATGTTGTGATTAACAAAAACACACAAATGAGAATTTAGACAGAGTAGGATGTATTTCTAATGTTTAAAAAGAAATAAGGAACACCCCCTTTGCATTTGTATTTTGCAGGAATTGTATTATCTCTAAAACAATTTAAAACCAAAAAAGGCAGAACAGAGCTTAAACATCAACCAATATATATTTGTGACAAAAATGACATAGTTATATAAGCATAGAGTGTCACAAAAGTTAAAATATCACTTTATGTTGAATTAATATACAAAAAATCTTTACTGATCATGCTCTTTCCGAATAAATGCAATGAATATATGTTGTTTGTGGCATTTTTTATTAGTTTTTTTATTAAGCTGATGTTGAAAAGCAGGAATTAAATTATCTGTAATAAACTATCGGACCAGATCAAAATACGGGTATCGTTTTTCTGATGTTATTCATTTACATAAAATTCAACAATACCTGTAAAATTCACATGCATTAGATAATCTTTTAGTGCTTCACCATCGACCGGATCCATACTAGGACACAGTTCGCGATAAGTTGGACCACATAAGTCGGTGTGCATATTCTGAAAAAATAACATTTTCTACATATTGATATGCATGTGAGAAAGTCTCCAAACAAACAAATATCGCCTTGTAAAAGTAACCACATGAGACCTAAACTCAGTTAAATCTTTTTTTCGGAATGTCCATAAGGGAATGCGGGAGACAATTGATCCGAGTAGATTTTAACCTTACCAGTGTTAGATTAAGTTATTTTCTGACACACATTTTAGCTTCCTAAGTTTGGCAAATAAACACGTACCATAAAGGTCTGAAAGAACGATTATCAAAATTTAGCAAATAAGCGTCTACAATGGGCTCTTTACAGTTTTAAAGCGAAAACAAAATAATCTGTAGTAACGGTAATTTTTGAGAAACTACAACTTAAAAAGATCTATACATAAAAGTCCACCTACGTATGGTCTACATTCAATATTTGCTTACACCATATAATTCATATAAAGGTTTAGAAAAATATTACATATACTACTTGTAAGGGTTAAAATAGTTATAAAATATAATATTTATAAGGGTTAAAATAGTTATTATATATATAACATAATACATTTAAGGGTTAAAATAGTTATAAATATTATTCATATAAGGGTTAAATTCGGTAGTTATTACATATAATTCAGATAAAGATTTAAAAAGTTATTACATATAATTCATATAAGGGTTAAGATAGTTATTACATATAATACTTATAAGGGTAAACATAGCAATTACATATAAATCATATAAGGTTATAACAATCTTAACCCTTATATGAATTCTATGTATTTACTATTTTTACCATTATAAGTATTACATGTAATAAGATTATTATTACATATACTACTTATAATACTTATCAGGGTTAAAGTAGTTATAAGATATGATATATATTAGGGTTAAATAGTTATTGCATATAATACATAGACTAACATGTAAAGCTATTGCAAAAGCAAACATGGCATCACTGACAAACTGTAACTGGGCTTCCATGATAAACGTATTAGGCTCTATTCGTTCAGTGCCAGTGCATGTTGTGTTGTAGTCCTCGTTATATGGCGTCCATGAAGAGCCGGGGAATTTACACTGGAAAAAAATTGGGAAAAGAATAAATTTAATATATCAATAATTGTTACTTATGTGTTAACTATAGTGCAGATTCGAAACGGCTTACAGACGTTACGCGCTTGGCACAAACCATATACCTTCGACAATTATGGATAAAATTATAAATCATTAATATATAGTACATCTCTTGTTAGATAACATCTTGGAAAATATGTATTAATAGTTTTTGCCGTAACTGAGAGATAAGTTTTTAAAAATAAAATGATCGACCATGTTTAACTTACATTGCATTTTAAAAATTGTGCACGAAAAAACATACTATCTGTTAAAAATACGTTATATACCATACATTTAGCAAGTTATTTGATTATTCGCGTGTATATCCAAGAAACACCGATTTTATGTAAGCCACTTAAGTAATAGCTAAAGTTGTTTTTTAAGGTTTTATCAGATGTTTATGCAATTTTAATTAACTGAAATAGTGCTTAATCTGGGAGATAAAACGAAAACAATACCTTGAAATTTTGTTCCCAAAATTCAACAAACCATGGGTTTCTCATATTATTAAATGGTGTCAAATTCAAGAAGTATTCTTTAAATCCTTTGACTTCAAAAGCTAATGGCTGGACCGTTATCGCACCTTCCACCTGAATACATTTGATCATAAATATTATAAAATGTCCATTTTTTCGCATTACTTTTGTATACATTTCGGATTGCGAAATAACTAATTTTAATTCTATTTAAATTTCATTCTTTATAATTATGACTGAACCAAACTTTAAATAGATTTTTGTCATTAACTTAAAAAATGGAGTGTTTAAAGATATATTGAATGCCTGCCATTGCTAGATTATTTGTTTTATCTTGCTTTTGTTTTCCTACATACCTGGTACAAACCATCATGTTTCATTCTTACTTTTTTAATAAAAGACAAATTACTTAAATGTAAAAGATCGAGGGATTAACATAATTTATCAAGTAAAACTAACTACGTTTTAGAAAAACTTTAGTATACCACAATTTACCTGTTCCTCTTTTCCTAGATAAGCCAGACCCCTTCCTCCCCATCCATCACTTCCTATCCACGAAAACATTCCTGTTGCTTTCTTTCTCCGCACAGCTTTCATCAACTCCCCTACTTCTTGGTCAGAGGCAAATATTATAACTCCTGGTAAAATCATAGCATTTGAGTCATGTAACTTTTACAAATATAATGACGTTATTGAGATAATCAACCTTAATATATCATCTGAGTATTTTAACACATTTCAAATCAGATTGCTCAATGTGTCAAATTTTCCAACATCATGATTGTAATTAGCAAAATGATCAAAACGAAAAGCGCTCTCACCTCGAATCAGGATAATGATCATTTTTTATATAATGTAATTGATTGGGGACAAAAAAAAACATTGTCAAAATGACATATAAGGTATTTTTAATGATATGTTCAATATTTGCTGTATAGTGAATGAATTGATAGTAATAAATGGAATGCATAACGAATTAATTCAGTCATGTTATCAACAGTAAATTATGCAGTAGACGTGAATAAATCTTTTCACATCACTAGTATTGCATTTATTTATTCTTTGTTCATTATAGTATACCCGGGTTAACTTGATTCAGGAACAGAAATTATCTATTGTCATTTGTTTATAACGCTGACATCTTAACTATTTGATTAATACCTTTTGCTTTTGAGGTTTGTTTCAGTCTTGTCACAATATGGTCGTAAAATTCTTCACTTGGCACTCCTGAGTCTTTCAGTAATTTTTCCGTCGTCGCCAAGCAAATCCCATGCTGTTTCAACAGTTTTTCGAGCTCGTTAAACCCCTTGTGTCATAAAATAGATACCATTATTCATTTTTAATATGTCATTTATCACCATTTTTGTGACATGAATTATATCTAAATTGAAACAAATGACATTTGAAACTTACATATGATAATGACATACTTACGTCTGTACCATCTCGTATTATATACCACTTAACCATGCTTGTTTACTATATAATTCAGGACTCATTTACATGTAATTTCGTGGGAATTCGTTTTTTTTTCTTCGTCGTTGCTATCTTCATTTGAAAGTGTTTTGTTCAGTCTCATTATTTAAGATTTATTATTTCTAAAACATCAGAAGGCATGTTGAAAATTGAGATTATTTTGAATTCATACAAATGCAATCAGTGCTGTTGTAAGGATGGTTAACACACTCATTGTAGATTGTGAGGTATATTTTAGGTATATTTTAATTAATTATTTCCAAGCACGAAAAGCCTCAATTATTTTTATTTTTTGTTTTAAATTCAGCATATTAAGTTTTATTATCAAAATTAGATAAGCTTCTGAAGAACAGTCATTCTGAAGAACAGTCATTTTGATAAGTTGAAAGTAAAAATGCAGCAATCAATGACAAACTAGAAAGAAAGAGCTCTTCAGTACTTTTCAAAATAGATATCTTGCATTGAAATTATCTCAATATTGTTACCTATGCATTAACTTGTTACATAATTAGCCAAAGATAGTCAAAGAAAATTCACTCGCTGTTTCTTTGTGAAACATTTCAAGAAAGAGCATGTGAGAACGCTATCCAATCAGCTTACGTGATGCCGATAGTTTTATTCGGATGACCACCCGAGCCAGACATAATGCACAGAGGGACATCTGATGTTTTCTACCACCTGAAAAGAGGAATGTCTCCATATGCACTTGTCATTGTCTATGTGACTTAACATTCAAAAAACATATGATCATATTACCTGAATTCCGTAGCTTGATTCTTCATAAATCACGGACACGAATGTCCAGTTAAACATCCGGACCAATTCTACCATGGCCTGGGCTTGGTTGACATCAGATGGTATCGTTCTCAGGAAGTACGGGTATCTGTCTCTGTTACTAAGTACTGTACTTGTTGAGAAGAAACTAACCTATAAGTATATTGATAATTGATGGCTTGTTATAGCTTAAAATACTTTTTATATATTATTTTAATGTATAATATGGAAGCTATTGCCCCCCCCCCCCCATTTACCTTTCTTGTCGTGGTTTCAAATAATTCTGTCTATCTTTCGTGCACTGCTTTTAAGTACAAATTTTACATATTGTATTCTCATAAATCGTTAGAGGGCATTAGTGGTAGCAAGCATCTGCCATCAGGATCGGTAAATTAACCTTATCGGTTATACTAGTGCGTTCCAGCTATTTTAGGCCAACAAAAGCTGTTCTATGTGTTGACGATTTTCATATTTTACTTTAGTGTAATGATAATTTATTTAGAATCATCCGAAAGGCAAGGATACTGACAGAATGCAAGAAAACAACTTTGGAGAAAGGCATCATTTCTGTAATGCTTTTACTGAGAAATGCAACATAATTGTACTTGTTTGTACTTGAAAGCAAAAGCAACACAAAATCTTCAATTTTTAGTAGAAAGACAACATGTTTGTTCTTAACGTTCTCAGGAAACAGGCAACATTCGCGTACTTTAATTTGTTAAGCAATAACATATTATTAGTATTGTATTGAAAAAAATGTTGTGTTGGCTTTTCGAAGGTTAATATGATAGATAATGTGAATGTCTCAGTAAGAAACATAATAATTCAACCGACTTCTTGATTCTGTACTTTGTTTCAAAATACATAATATATATAAAGAAAAATTTATAAGCAAGTGATTTCGTTACAACATAATCAGATAATGTGTCTTATTGAAATGCTATCAACAAACTTAAGGTAGATTGTCTATCTGTCAGTGTTTGCTTTGCGGATTTAAAGTGATGGAAAGCTATTGATTTGACTGGAATTGATTTCTTTTTCTAGACATTATCCTTTCACAAGACGACGAAGTAAATTCAATTTCTATATAAAAGCATAGAATGTGTATAGTCAAACGTTTTCACTGATTTTTTCTGTAGTCATTTGAGGAAGCAAAGAAAGCCCACAGACTTGAAAGGTTTGAAACAAATGTTAATTATCATTTAATGTTATGAAATCAAAATAATTTACAAAATGATTGAAAACTAGTTGTGTCCTTAAGACGTGTTTTTTGAAAGGCCCATTATGCCCCAGAAATTCATTTTTTAATCTTTGTTGTATTGTGGTTTCCTGTTAGATTCTGAAATAGTTACTCATTGGCCAATAATTACATGAACCATTAGATTCAGTTGCTTTTCAGCAATAATTAAAAACGTAGTGATTGAGTATTTTGTATGGAAGTGAAGATATTAATTTGTTTACAGTTTGACGGTTTCTTGACAGATAATTTCACATTCAGTGCTACTTTCTTCAGGTGATTAACATCTAAAATGTTGTAAAACCATATGAGACGTTGTAAAACAATTGTTTGCCCTTTCTAAAGAATGACATACATACAAAAATGTATATATTCGTTTCGTTTCAGTTCGTTTGTTATATACCCGCAACTAAATTAATGGTTTGTTGTAAGACGCTTCAGAAAATTTAAATAAAAAATAACTAAAGGTTAATATCCATGTCGAAAATTGTGATTTGAAATATATGTATTTGAAATTTTAAGGGTTACAACTGCAAGTATAAATATAATTCATTCAGAACATTGTTTGTTACTTTTTGCTTTTAATTATTAATTCAATTATAAAGAAAATATCTTGCTCAGGAAATAGATACACGACTAATTTTATATGATAATAAACTCTCATTAAATGTACACAAATGGACTAACTAGCAAACTACAATAGTGATAATTATATTTCAGATTTGTACTTATCAAAGTTCATATTGAGTTCATCTTTAAGTTAACGGATGTATTCAATTCTGAAGATTCTCTCTAGTATCATGTTTGCAAAATCACATGACAAGTAGTCATATACTTCAATTCTTTAATTTGCAAAACTCAGAAATTTTGTCATTAAGTAAAACCGCGTATTTGAACAATTGTCGCATTTTCACTTTACGACAAAACTATGGCCCCTCCCACCAACACACATACATAACCTAAATAAAAAAGTAGCAAAAAACACCATTATTAAACATTGTCGCTCCCGAAATCTTGTAATTGTATTGAATAATTATTATTAAAAATATTATCTTTAAATATATTCATTTAAGCTCGATTGCGAAACAAGTTCTTGCAATTTATTCTATTTAACTTAAAATATTCTGACATTTCATTAAATCCAAAATTATAAATTTATTAAAAATTGGAAAAAATACTATAAATTTTATTTTTTCAATAAACGCTTTTGGCTTACACTTTGAAGACGTAATGGACTTAACAATTTCCTATTTTAGTTTTTGCTCAGTAAATTAGAGAAGTCATTTAAGTTCTAAATGTAATCGAATAAATTACAGTGACACAATCACATCGGATGTAGGATGTGGGGTTTTTAACGGCTTTTACATTTAGAGGATTTATCTGATATGACAATGTATGAGATATGACAGGGATCACTATTAACTTAAGTGTGTTGTTGCTTTGTTTTTTATTGTTGTTGTTCTGGTTTTTTTGTTTAGGGGAGGGGGTTGATTTTTGTTGTGTGTTTTTGTGTTGTTTTTTGTTGTTGTTTTTTTCTTTTTATTTTTTTTTATTATTTTTATTTTTTGTCATCATGATAGAAGATATCCATTTTGTATTTAAAGAGGATTGAAAATGGATCGTGACACAGTACCGTACCATTTTTAAAACAGAATGAATATGTTAAGAATTAATGCCGGCATATATATTTTAAGTACACTATTTCAAATATCTTGTGGTAGCATCTAGTTATCTACAACAATAAGCGAAAAATACAATGTATTGTATTGCTAGAACAATAATTGTTATTGGTATTGTAGTTAGAAACCAATGTCTTTACTTTTTAAGGAAAAAAGAATAAACAAACGTTCTAACGTTCTAGATATGATATTCCACAACCATACAATATGCATTAAGGAACCATTAGTGTCATACATGACATTTGATGATTATGAAGTCGTCTATTTTATATCAAAAGTTCATATAAAGGGCATCTAGGGTAATAGCTACATTTATTTCTAAAGCACTTGTCCATTAACCACTTAGCAATTATTGTAAAGGTTGTGGTGGCTTTAAGTTCAAATTCTTCCGCAAGAGCTATGAAAGTAAAAATTGATTTGTGAAAATTTAAATTGTATTTATTGAGTCTTTCTATGATATCAAACACTTCAAACATTTTCAAATTCTTCAAATATAGTCTTAAACAATATTTCTTTTTCTCCCAGAATTTAGTTACATTATTTTCATATTTACGGACCTAATGTGGCCAAATAAGTAAAATGTTATTTCTCTAACATGGAACCATTTTTAAAAACAAAAAGATAATTAAAGGTTTTGCAATTATATGAACCGATGTGCGTTTTTGTATACTTTTCTACATACGTGAGTAACTCATTTAAATCAATCACGAGGAACGCCGGAAGACTTGGTTATTTTCTTTGTTCAGAAGATTTTATGGCGAGACACATAATACAGATAGGAATATATTGAATTAATTGACTAATCCATTACAAGAGAACTTGATCATGTGGCGCAATTTAAGGACAGTGACAAAGATAGATCGTCGCATAAGTAAATATTTGGTCATCTGATAAATGTGATATAAATCTGTCCAAAAACGTTACCAAAAATGGTATCATGTTTATATTATCATGTATATGTTATCCTGCATATGTTGCTTGGTTTATGTTATCTTATTTCTGTTATCATGTTAATGTTACCATGCATATGTTACCATGTATATGTTATCATGTAAATCTTATCATTTAAACATTTTAGCTGCGTTTTCATGGAGAGAAGATACTTATAAAGTACCTGAAGAGATTTTTTTACATTTTACATCAAGGAAATTAAATCGCCTTTAGTCATGACTTGAACGACGTACATGTTATTAAATCACCCTGACTAAAGTTTCCTGTAAAGTTTAAATCAAATACTAGATTATTTCATTAAAACTCAGTGCAGATAACAATTAGATAAAATATGTTTCTATCTTGGTATCATTGAGTGAAAATGTAAAACAAAAAGAAGCTGTACATAATAATCAACTTATAAACTTGTTCAATAAGCTCCAAGCAGAAAGAAAACGTTTACATATTTAAGATATGAATAAGAGAATCAAACTTCAAAAAATGAAATAGTTTTCAAAACCTAGGTAAATAAATGCAGGTCGTACAATATAAATAACAGTAAATGACCGTTTTATCAAGCTATTTTCGTCGGCTTTTTTGTGGAAAATAGTTACAATAATGATCCATAAAAAAGATAAACTGGTATTTGTGAGAACAAAAAAAAAATACAAAAAAAGAAAAGAAAAAGAATAACGGTGTGCCACTCATATTGTTTTCGAGAGTGTATTGTAATTCAGAGGTCCTCGTGTTTAATTCTTCTTATAAAAGGTAAATATAAAAACAAAACATATTTAATTTCCACAACACTTATGTATTACAACGTGTGATAGATATATTTTGATAAAACTATCCTCTTTGCATAGTTTGCATTGAAAGTTAGCTAAAGATCTAGTAAAGATAAAGATGAAAAACCTAAACTAATAGGTAATCAAAATGGTCGGTCAATACGGCAAAATTGAAAATGCTGCAAGCTCGTAAAGCTGTATTACTGTTTGTATTTAAACAATAAATAAATACGAGAACATATTAAATGAAATTTATACGTGTTTCGTTCTCCAATCATGACCTTGCCTGGACCTTTAACAATTCGCATAAACTTTTTATTATTCAATATAAGCATTTATCTAAGGCTATGAAAGCCCGAAACAATTTTCTAGTTTAGTGTTAAGTAATAGAACGTTGTCATTTACGGTCTTAATGTGATCAAATTAGTGACATATAAGACATCTTCGTCTCCAGAAAATCAATGCGGATAATTGAAGGTTTTGTAATGAATATTATCTACGGCTAGGATAGTACTTGGACAA